GGCCGGTGGCGAGCTTAGCCCAAAAGGGGACCATAATTTTGACAACCACCCAATCTTGAGGGCCGATGTGATATGATGTCTTCCTGTACCGGAGTCGCAGGAAACTATGTGGCAGCAAATGCCATTGTTGACATCTTTCCAGCACGGAATAAACCAGAGATCCTTGGCTTCAGAAAGGCTTGCCAGAGATAGGCTTTGGATGCTGCAGAATTGGGCTTTCATGTGGGCTGGGCCCAAACAGTGCCTAGCAGTCCGCTGAGCAAAACAATATGCCCGAAACATACGGGCTGTTCTCAAAATTCTTGGCTCCTTTTGGTTAAGGACTGTATTACGGCGCCTAATTTTTAGGGGTACCAAAATGGGGACATGATTTAGCAACTATCCATATGGAGTCTGGTTCCAAAAGTTCCCCGGAGAGCCCCTCAATTCTGGTAATCGACATGTGCACTGAGGATCGACTCCTCCACCATCATGTGGGGAGGAGTTGGGGGTGGCATTGGTATGCGCTGGAAGAGCTTCGCCTCTATGGATGTCTGGCACTTGGGTATTTCCTGAAATCGCATCTCCTTAGCTTGAAATAAGCCATTCCTTTCAGCAAAAAGGGTTTAGGCTTTAGGGTTATTATTACTGTAAAAGACCAAAAGGAGAGGTGACCCTGAATTTTGCAAGACCACTCGATGCTAGTGGTCAGTGCCTGACAGTCCGAACCACAAGCTGGCGTGTATATTACATTTTGCCATGTAGTATAATACAGTAGAATCTTGTATTCTCTGCTCTATGGTATTTTATTAGATGAATATATAAAGTAATTTGACTGCCTGTGAGGTTCTCGGCTTTCAAGAGGACAGTCTGCTTACAATTGCAACCCGGCCACACTTAGTTCTGGCAGCATGTGTTTGCATGAGAAGCGATCTAGAAGCTAACCCCGTATTCTTAGAGACCTTCACAATGCTTTTGTAACCCCCATATCCTGAAACCTTGAACCCTAGAGCGCTTAGTCCCGCTAAGGATAAACCCTAAACCCTACTAAACCCTAAACCACAAAGTGCACGATGTTCTCAGAAACCCACAGAGAGCGTCAAGCTACAACCCTGCAACTGAGGATGATGCGAGCAAGGCGCGTGCAAGCCCTGCAGACAGCATCCATCCCCAGTGATATTACTGTATCACTTTATTAGTACATTACTATATTATAGTCTAGTATGTTCTAATATATTATATTCTGATACTACTATAGTAGTACATTGCCATATTATAGCCCAGTATGTTCTAATATATTATATTCTACTACATTGTATCCGGAACCCCTCTTTAAGAATCCAGCGAGTGGTCATTTCATTGGTTCACCCATGTTGTCACACTTACACTAGCTGTGGGTCCAGTCCATTCTTTGGGGGCTGCAAGTCTTTGGAGCCCACAAAAGCATCTGAAAGTGTAACTCTGTCCTGGGAAGGCCATACGATACACATGCACAAAGATGTTTGCGCCGCCTCTCCACATGCCGTCGAAGTTCGACCTGCAGACGCGACAGATGTTCTTGACTCCCACTGCTGGCATGATCCCTCTGGACTGCGATGTTACCCCAGTTGACCCATCTTGCATAAAGTAGCCCTCCGCAAAAAAGAAGGCACAGTTAGGAATCCTTTCGCATAGGACTCACAGGACCCAAAGCTTTAGGAAGCTTTGAAATGGTAGTTGTCCAAATTAGGGGATCCAAATGTAAACCCCCAAATACTATAATCCTTATTATGGGGACCCACACAAAAGGTACCCCTATCTTTGGGAAACCTAAGCCCTAAACCTCTATATCCCTATATAACCCCTGTATAACCACCCATATAACCCGTATATCCCACTACAAAGGTACCCTAATTTTGGGAATGTCTCAAAGGAACTTTCATGCACACATATCGAGGCTAATGTCGAGGGATTTAGGGCTTAGGGTCTAGAACCGTCCAGGACCAAAAAAAAGGGTGTTCTCATGATCTCGAATTGCTACAAATCTTACACATCCTACATGAGCCTATTCTTGCAGACCCCTTCGCCCAAAACCCTCACGTTTAAACAAGAGACGCCAGCCCAGATCCCAAAGTTCTGAGCATTGAAGAAAACATAAGTGGTAAATTCTAAGCCAATCAGTATCTTTGGACCTGTTATATAGCCTTGGGTTTCATGTAAATTTTCATTTGATTCTCCATTCTTGGAGGTACTTGCCCATTTGGGTGGTTGTCAAAATTCTGATCCCTTTTTGGGTACCCTAAATACTAGGTGCCGGACTATAATAGGGAACCAACAAGGGACCATAATTTTGACAGCCATCCAGATATCCTGAACCCTAAACCCCAACCTAAACCCAAACCCTAAACCCAAACCCCCCAACCCTAAACCCTAAACCCTAAACCTTTTGACAGCCACCCATTTCTGGAAGGAGATGCCGCAGGCTGAGTCAGAGGCTGCAAAAGCAGCTGAGGTCGCTGGAGATGCTCGGGCACTACCTTAGGAGGACCCCCCCAGCCTGTAATAGTGGTATAATAAG